GCGAGTTGATTTAATTGATATCACTTTGATCCCTTTCTATATCTACATTGCAAGTGATATCACATTGGTCACTAATTTGACAATACTTTATCCAGTTTTCTCTGCTGTTGACGTATAATCATCGTCTGAATGTCGAACATGTTGACATTTCAATAATACTATAAAGTTTTTTCTGTCACTGGTTGTCTTTGGAAGTATATCTAAAACTAGCACAGCAATGTTATCAAGCCAGAAGAAAATATTTCTTGTACTGAAACTGGAGATATCATACGCCACACAATGGAGTTGTTTGTGTGATAGCAGAATCGGCAGTCATAACTCTGCTTGTGTTATTGAGCTGTGTGACATACTATTAGCTAAATCTTGTCAGAGAAAAACAAAATTTGGTCCTTTTCAAGTATTCTCTAGTTATGATGCGATGAAAATATATCCATAATTCTTGGCAGAAGGGAAGGGTAACCAGCAAGTTCTTGGGGAGGGGGGCTGAGGATGGGACTACTTCATTGTTTCTCTAGAAAAGACCATCTTAGTGTATGAAGGAGTCAAAGCCGGCGCCGCAAGCGTAAGAGATGCAGTAGACGAGACATCTGAAGTCATAAGTATGTCACCTCTGATGCTTGATTCCTTTGCTTGGTGTGTGTGTGTGTGTGTGTGTGTGACCCGGGGAGATGAGGCTGCGCGAAGGGTCTATACTGGTGAGTGTGTGTCTCAAAGCTCCCTGGCTCGGCTGGCACAGAGGAGGTGGAGGTGGAATTAGCCCGCTAATAATCCTTTTCATTGCAAGACCAAAGTAGGATGAATCAGTCCGTTTCGAATTCGTTTTGTTGCGAGACTTTGGCCGTGCAACAGAAAGGGTCATTAACGGGCTGATTCCTCTTACTGAAGGGCTTCTAGTTCCTTTCAAAGCTTAAAATTTTAAAGAAAGTCAAGAATGAAGCCTCAGATTAGGCCGGAATATACCAGCATCCACACATGTCCTCACCCACAAGGCCAGAGTTCTTACTAAGGTGGTTATTTCCATTAAGAGGTTAATATCAGATGATAATTTGTTGCTTTGATGTGACTGGCGGTTGACTCAGACACTGAGGAGTTACCACCATCACACACTTGATAATTTTCGTGCCTCAAGCAGCATGGCAGTGGTACAGAATCCTTACATTAATGTTTTATGTACAGCGCTAGACATCAGTATTACAACAATACACGGTATACGCATCCTTAGCGATACATGGAGACGTTTTGTACATTTCAAGATAAAATCTAGCTTTTTTTTTTCATTTAACTTAAAATTGTGGCTACTTTCTGTCCTGAAATTCAAATATAAAAAAGAGAAGAAGACAACAAATAGATCATTTTCTTTTTTTCTTTTTCTTTTTTATATTTTTTTTTTTTTTTTTTTTTTTTTTGCTTTGCAGCCATGGAGCTCTATTGACTTTTTTTTTTCACAGAATGAAATCCTTGTATACAAAGAAAATGATCACTGGTTTGAAGGCAACCACTCACATACGTAAAGGTTGGATTATCTGTTCCCGCTACACTACACAGCCACGCCTCTGCTGGCTTGAGCCTTACACCCTACACTGTACACAAAATAACACGAGTTTCTGGGGGACAATCCAAGCCCATATATATATTTTTTTAAGTTTCGTTTCGCAAGATTCAGTAATAATCTGTACACAGTTTTTTTTCCCTCTAGTAGTTTCTCGCACCTTCTCAACACGTGCGATATTACCATAAAAGGGGCTGTTAAGTCATGTTTTTACATACATTCACTTACAGCATAACTTCTCTTTCTCTAACACAGAATATAATCTGTACATTGTAAAATCTGGATTGTTCAGGGAATTTTTTATTTTTTTATCTCGCACATTAGCAGTGTTTGGTCCAGAGTGCCTCTCATGTCGTGACATTGTTAGCTTGCCCCACACACACAAGTCACGCTAGTGGGGGGGGGGGGTCAAAGGTCACGTTTGGGTCACTACTGGCTGTGTCAGTTACACGAGGGGCGAGGAGAAGGGGGGAGTGGTGGTGACGAGTGTGTTAGGGGTGAGACCAGCCAGGGGGGAGCAAGTCACGGAGGAGGCTCTCGTCATCAGAGGTCAAGCTAGGGTGCTCTTGGGTCATCCCAGGCAGCAGGGGGGATGAGGGGTCAAAGGTGACGGAGGCCGACCTCACTGGTGCCTCTTCATGTGAAGGGCCAGGTGGTCGGAGCGGGAGAAGCAGCGGCCGCAGTGATGGCACTTGAAAGGCTTGGCTCCCGTGTGTTTCCGGAAGTGTCTGGTGAGCTCGTCGGAGCGGGCGAACCTCCACTCGCAGCCCTCCCACGAACACCGGTACGGCTTCTCACCTGTTGAAGCAAACCTCCGTTAGTCTTATGTACACCGCCTCATGCACCACTTACAGTAAGATATCGACTAAATCTAATTATACGTCAGTCAGGAAGACGGTAAATAGTCATTACAATAAGAAATAAACACAATTAGGGATAAAAAAAGATTATATATATATATATATATATATATATATATATATATATATATATATAAATCACTTGGGTATATGGCAAACTTGTCTAAGAACTGAGTTGTAAATTTGTACAGCAAAAATGATTAGAATCAACAATTACCAGCGTGTTGATACAGAATTGGCGATGGTGTTTTAAGCGACGGTAAGCCTATTGAGATCGTACACGAACCGTCATTTCACAACACATGCCCCCCCCCCCCCCGCCCCATCACCCCCCGTGGAACAGGTAATCAACAGAAGGACACTACAACTCTCGGGCCTCCTAGGTGATCACAACACAACACAGGACTCACACTAAAGAAAACCACTGACAATCCTAACATCACAATAACGAAAACACATAAATCCGGTAACTGGGTATTTAAACGGATTCGTAATTAACAACAGATTAATGTCAATAAAAGCGAACGGCATCGCTAGCGTGCTCACAGCCATTAAGCTCAATAAAACATTATGTACAAACTAGAACATAATAATATTATGATGTTATAGAATGCATAGGACATCAAAGTGTTAGTATCAGCGCCATGTTCCCATCCCTGTGAAAAATAAAATAGGCTATTAGGGGGGGAAAATTACACATTAATAGTAATGGTGTTTGTTTCCTGTTAACTCCGCGAGAGGGCATTTACTATCACTGTCAAGTGTTTCACTCGCTTGCCAAGTCTGCCTACTACTCTGTCATATGCCAGTTGTTTACGTGCCTGCCCCTTGTCACCAGCTGGGCCATCGTTACCAAAGTCTCTATATACCACTTGAACCTGTCTAGTTAGCTTCTAATGCTACAGTCTGCTGGCCAACTCTTAAGAGTTCCAAGAATTTTCTAATCATCATACTTTACCTGTAGCAGCGTAAAATAGGCCATCCTCCTGCAGCTTCATTGGTTTTCTCAAACCCTGCTCATTCCTCGAAGCCAAAGGGGAACTATTATATTTTTGAAACATTTCACAGTACTAGGCTTCTCCCACCGGAAGACCACCCACACGTCAATGGGAAAACTATTAATCTTGAGACACAGAGACAGACAGAGAGAGGGAGGGAAGGAAGAAATGGTAGAAGGTGGATGTTTGAAGAGAGAGAAGGAGAGTGGGAGGATGGGGGGGTTTGGGGGGATAAGGAATGACGGAGGAGGGAGAAATGGGGGAAGTGGGAAAGGAGAGAGAGAAAAACTTGGGAACAGTCGGGTAACTCAGGCTAGTTATTAATAATGATTATTTGACTTAACAAAATGTTGTTAAATTTCCATCTTTATGTGTCAATGGTTATCCTCCATTGTCATCTCCCGTGTGTCATCAAGGACGTTGAACCTCCTTGTGTGAACCTCCCAACATCTCCAGCAATAAATAATTTAACATAACTGTCAGTAAAAATTACATCTAAAGAAGAAATCTCTCGGTAGTAATTTAAGTCAACAGGGCGCGGTGTTTTTCCCCATGAACCACCGGCGATCCCTTAATTAGTAATTATCAATACTTTTGTAGTAACTAATGTAAAATGGAGGGGTGGCAGCCGGCGTTTCTCCTCTGAATTGAGATTAAGCATTTCCTTGAACGTACCATTGGTTCAGTATGAGACAAGTGGTACAGGGTTACACCCAACTGTAAATATTGTTTAGACTGCTTAAGAAAATATACTTAAGAGCACTAGTGTGTAAACCTTCAGTGGTGTAGTGGTATCAGGGAGGGCTTACAATGTGTTACAAACTTACCCTGCACAAACCTACTACACTGCCTCCATGTTTCAACTACCACTGCCAATAAAACACAGTACCAGTTCACCCTTCCACAACTGGTGAGGAACTGTTCTCACCACCTTTATCTGGTGAGGACAGATGAATGTTTCGTGAAGCCTCTGTTCTAACCGAGGGATATGAGACAGACTAAGAGTCCTATTCTCTACAGATATACCACAAATGCAGCAAAATTTCTACCTCAGCCCCCCTAGTGATCTCTGCACCAGCTCACTACCCATCTGCACACACACACACACACACACACACACACACACACACACACACACACACACACACACACACACACACACACACACACACACACACACACACACACACACACGCACACACGCACACACACAACTCACAGCATCCTCTGGTAATCAAGTAAAAGAAACGAGATGGCGGGACTCACGAACCCGACGCCTCAAAGGCAGGCAGGAAAAATCCGGAGAGAAAACTGCTCATTTCTAAACATAGGTGGTATTGGAGACGGCCCGGGGGAGAGACGGGGGAGGCGGTGGAGAGGGGAGAGTGGAGAAAGGAAGGGATGTCGGGGAGAGAGAGAGGAATGGGGGAAGTTTTGGTGTTGATAGGAATGGGAGAGGTGGTGGTGGAAGAGGAGAAGGAAGGGAAGGTGGTTGTGGAAAGGGAGGGAGGGAGGGAGGGCCATGCTTGACCACAGATCAAAGATGCGCTGCGGTGAGCCAGCAGGACCACGACTTCTGTCAAGAGGTCACAGATGACTGACTGCCACAGTCAGTCGTGTCCACAGTCAGTCGTGTCAACAGTCAGTCGTGTCAACAGTCAGTCGTGTCAACAGTCAGTCGTGTCCACAGTCAGTCGTGTCAACAGTCAGTCGTGTCAACAGTCAGTCGTGTCAACAGTCAGTCGTGTCCACAGTCAGTCGTGTCAACAGTCAGTCGTGTCCACAGTCAGTCGTGTCAACAGTCAGTCGTGTCAACAGTCAGTCGTGTCCACAGTCAGTCGTGTCAACAGCCAGTCGTGTCAACAGTCAGTCGTGTCAACAGTCAGTCGTGTGAACAGTCAGTCGTGTGAACAGTCAGTCGTGTCAACAGTCAGTCGTGTCAACAGTCAGTCGTGTCAACAGTCAGTCGTGTCAACAGTCAGTCGTGTCAACAGTCAGTCGTGTCAACAGTCAGCCGTGTCAACAGTCAATCGTGTCAACAGTCAATCGTGTCAACAGTCAGCCGTGTCAACAGTCAGTCGTGTCAACAGTCAGTCGTGTCAACAGTCAGTCGTGTCAACAGTCAGTCGTGTCAACAGTCAGTCGTGTCAACAGCCAGTCGTGTCAACAGCCAGTCGTGTCAACAGTCAGTCGTGTCAACAGTCAGTCGTGTCCACAGTCAGTCGTGTCAACAGTCAGTCGTGTCAACAGTCAGTCGTGTCAACAGTCAGTCGTGTCAACAGTCAGTCGTGTCAACAGTCAGTCGTGTCCACAGTCAGTCGTGTCCACAGTCAGTCGTGTCAACAGCCAGTCGTGTCAACAGTCAGTCGTGTCAACAGTCAGTCGTGTGAACAGTCAGTCGTGTCAACAGTCAGTCGTGTCAACAGTCAGTCGTGTCAACAGTCAGTCGTGTCACCAGTCAGTCGTGTCAACAGTCAGTCGTGTCAACAGTCAGTCGTGTCAACAGTCAGTCGTGTCAACAGTCAGTCGTGTCAACAGTCAGTCGTGTCAACAGCCAGTCGTGTCAACAGTCAGTCGTGTCAACAGTCAGTCGTGTCAACAGTCAGTCGTGTCAACAGCCAGTCGTGTCAACAGTCAGTCGTGTCAACAGTCAGTCGTGTCAACAGTCAGTCGTGTGAACAGTCAGTCGTGTCAACAGTCAGTCGTGTCAACAGTCAGTCGTGTCAATAGTCACTTGTCATATTCGAATCTAGTATCTCCAGTCACCGCTCGACTGACTTGGATTAACTCGACGAGATTCAGGCTGTTAAGGAGTGCTGGACCCTCCTGAAGTCGACTTAATTAAGATCACCTTCTACCCTTAATCGTCTTCAGTGTCGGCACAAACTTTTACACTATCCGTATATATAAAAATATTCTAATTCAATTTAAATTCAAAGTCAAAACGTTATTCATAAGTGTTGGTAACTCTTTATAATTGGTATATATGTCCTGTAATTTGTGGGTGAACTAAGATAGTTCTTATGACTGTGGTCATAATGATTATATACTGAACAATCTAGGTTGACCAGACCACACACTAGAAGTTGAAGGGACGACGACGTTTCGGTCCGTCCTGGACCATTCTCAAGTCGATGAGACTCATTCTCATCGACTTGAGAATGGTTTCAGGACGGACCGAAACGTCGTCGTCCCTTCAACTTCTAGTGTGTGGTCTGGTCAGCATACTTCAGCCATGTTATTGTGACTCATCGCCTGAACAATCTAGGTTTTCATTGGTCCATCTGCGCCATTAGTATCCTGAATGATGTCCTAACTACCACAGCTATGTAACAAGCACAGTTATAATACCCACCACCTACCGTAACGACCGTTATCTTGAGGTTATCTTGAGAGGATTTCGGGGCTTTTAGTGTCCCCGCGGCCCGGTCCTCGACCAGGCCTCCACCCCCAGGAAGCAGCAGGTGACAGCTGACTAACTCCCAGGTACCTATTTTACTGCTAGGTAACAGGGGCATAGGGTGAAAGAAACTCTGCCCCATTGTTTCTCGCCGGCGCCCGGGATCGAACCCGGGACCACAGGATCACAAGTCCAGTGTGCTGTCTGCTCGGCCGACCGGCTCCCCATCTCATTCTCGAATTCTCGAACACCCGTTGATGACCGTAGTCACAGTAACTACCATTCACTGTAACGACCAGGGTTACAATAACCACCACTCACTGTAATGACTGTAGTCACTGTAACTACCATTCACTGTAACGACCAGGGTTACAATAACCACCACTCACTGTAATGACTGTAGTCACTGTAACCACCATTTATTCTAACAAAGCCCTTCCCCGTATCGTTCCATTGGGAATGGATTAATTAAGGCCTAATGTGCGATAGTTCCATATTTAGTCAATAATTTCAATGGGAGCGTTGATTACTGCGGCAATAAGGGGCTAGTACTGTTTAACAATCGGTACTTAATGGATTCATTAATAGCTAATATATGTGTTCAATGAGCAACTACTGTTATGTACTATTATCTGTGTCATTCACGGCTCTGTTTATCGAATAGCGTTGAACTCCCAATATTTGTTTTTGGAATAGCGTTGAACTCCCATTATTTTTGGAATAGCGTTGAACATCCATTATTTGTTTTTGGAATAGCGTTGGACGCTCATTATTTGTTATTGGAATAGCGTTGAAGACCCATTATTTGTTTTGAAAATAGCGTTGAACACCCATTATTTACGGGCAATATCTGCTCGTCTGCTGGGAGGGTATGACATGATGGCAACTATGCTACCAGACAATGGCAGTGTTGCACCGTATATGTTGTGTTTAGCGCATCAATAACTATGCAAGCGTGAGTCGTGCAAGCGTGAGTCGTGCAAGCGTGAGTCGTGCAAGCGTGAGTCGTGCAAGCGTGAGTCGTGCAAGCATGAGTCGTGCAAGCGTGTGAAGTAAGTGTTTGAAAATAACGCTAAAATGTCTGTCGAAATAAATAGAAGTGCTAGGAAAGGGGGCGTTTCTTTATATAATATATATATATATATATATATATATATATATATATATATATATATATATATATATATATATATATATATATATATATATATATATATATATATTATATAAAGAAACGGGGGGTGCAAATGTGGGGGACCCATAGCCTCGGAGAAGAAAATAAGGAGTATTCATTGAAGACCTTGTGGATTCTCACTGAACACTTTAATATACTGAACACTATATATATATATATATATATATATATATATATATATATATATATATATATATATATATATATATATATATATATTGAACCCACAGACGAAATTGTGAAGTACTATAATGTCAAACTGAAGACTTCCAGTGATGTTCCAAGCATGCAATCCGACTGCTGTCTCATGACATCTCCTCCACCTGACGTCTCCTCCACCTGACGTCTCCTCCACCGGACGTCTCCTCCTGACGTCTCCTCCATCTCTCTCTATTCTGTTTTTTATTTCTTATCTCTGTCTTCGTGGCGTGCGTTCCTGCGGGCTCCGTCCTCTCAGCGTCTCTCCTTTAAGTCTCTGACTCTACAGCAGTCAAGATTCCCAAGCCTTTTGAATTGCAAGCAGTCATTGTATTGGAGTAACTGATTCTATTGTAATTATTCATTTATTTAGATTTTGTCAATGAGATATTTTACATTTATTCGTTTTGCAATGGAGTTATATATATATATATATATATATATATATATATATATATATATATATATATATATATATATATATATATATATATATATTCTCAAGTCGATTCTTGACTTGAGAATGGTCCAGGAAGGACCGAAACGTCGTCGTCCCTTCAACTTCTAGTGTGTGGTCTGGTCATATATATATATATATATATATATATATATATATATATATTGGTGTATACTGGCAGCAGGTTTTCTTTTAAACTTGTTTCATTGAATATGACCGCATATTCAGTATTTACTATCTTCTGATTTAGGGCTTCTATCCCTCTAACTATTTTCTTAGCATCAAGAAAATAGTTAGCTTAAATAGTTAGAAAAATATAGTTAAATAGACTATATTTTTAAAAAATATAGTTAAATTAAATAGTTAAAATAGAAAATAGCTTCTATCCCGCTAACTATTTATACATATATATAAACATTCTTTACCTGTCTCTTTCCATCTTCGTCTTTCAATGTCCTATATTATTATACCTTTTACGTATCTACCTACCCATGTTATCCTGTGTAAATATCTCTCTGGCGTTTCCCATGTAAACTCTGACTTCAGTGTCTCTCCCTCTCTTACTCTCTTTTCTACGACTGTCGCTTCCTCTCTCACTCTTCCTCTCCCATTTACACGCGAGCTTACTCGGTTATCTTTTTTTTCTCTCTCCACATTCCTCCCCGTCCTCCCTACCTTTCCGCTGCCCTGGCTATCTCCCTGCGCCAGTGCGGCTCCCCCGTGTCTACGGTCTCTCCCACGTTGGAAGCGTCGCCGGAACATTCAAATTCTCTGTTTTTATCAGCAGCGGCGCGGGGCTCTGGGGACCCGGCCGCTCCGCTCACAAGTAAACAAAAAAATAGGAAAAAATGGTAACTTCTAAGCGCCTTGAAAAATATCTTGAACTGCGTCTCCAGCTGCGCCTCCAGCAGTACCTCCAGCTTCATCTCCAGCAGTACCTCCAGCTGCGCCTCCAGCAGTGCCTCCAGCTGCGCCTCGAGAAGTGCCTCCAGCTGCGCCTCGAGCAGTACCTCCAGCTGCGCCTCCAGCAGTGCCTCCAGCTGCGCCTCGAGAAGTGCCTCCAGCTGCGCCTCGAGCAGTACCTGCAGCTGTGCCTCGAGCAGTACCTCCAGCCCGGCCTCATCAACAAAGGCTAAATGCTCGTTAATACACCCGCCGAACTCTCTGTTTATGAATGAAAAGTAATTTTACACACAACTCACAGCTGATCACGTGTGTGTGTACGTTTTTCGAACGTACACACGTTCGGTCACGTCCTCTGGTCGAACCGCACGTCTAAATCCTTCATCCACGTCCTTCATATATAAATAATTGCCAACAGACCCTAACTACCTAACCTAGCTTATTAGGTCAACCATTTCAACACATTTTAGTATATAGTAATTAAATTTTATTTGAGAAAATATCAATTATTGAATAAGCAGTAGGGTTAAGTCTATGAACAAGTCTTTGGGGTCGGGGGTCGGGGAGGCCTTTTTAACGAGCCTAGCCTGATGACTGGCTGCTTCATCAACCAGCAAAGTGATCGTTAATTCAGCCAAATTCACGAAGTAGTTACGCAAGCACTTACGAACCTGTACATCTTCTCTCAATCTTTGGCGGCTTTGTTTACAATTAGTGAACAGTTAATGAGCTCCGAAGTACCAGGAGGCTGTTTATAACAATAGCAACAGTTGATTGGGAAGTTTTCATGCTTGTAAACGGTTTCATAAATGTAACCAAAGCTGTCAAAGATTGAGGAAAGATGTACCCGTTCGTAAGTACTTGCGTAACTGCTTCGTGAATCTGGCCCCTGGTTTATGCAACCCGTCCACAGGCAATGTTCGTCTATCCGGCGCTCGACCCCCAAAGATGCATTCATCAATTTTAACGCACTGGGTATTCAAAATAAAGAATTTTCTCATATAGATCAATATATGTGGCATAGTTAGGCGTAGGTTAGGCTGGGTATTTAGGTTCTGTTGGCGATTTTTTGTATCAGAAGTACGTAGGGGTTGGGGGGGGGGGGGACCGTTACAGAGCTATGATTCGTACAGAGGTTTAAGTCGTTTTTAAACAGGGTGTTTGGCGGCTGGATTAACGACCATTTGGCCATCGTTGACGAGGATGAGTGAATTTATGAATGAAAAACAGTTTATACACGACTCTACTGACGACGTTCGACCATTCCGTCAGCGGTACTTCGCTGCGACCTCTGAATGACTCGCAGCTGTGTAGCCGCTCCCCCCAAGCGCTACAGACACAAATAATCACCAACAGAACCTAAACAACCTAACTATACGCCTAACTATACGTAAAACTGTAACAATATAATACAAATAATTTATATATGAGAACAGAACTATTTTAAATTCACGTTAAAAGTGATTAATGCGTCTTGAGGGTCGGCCGCTGCTTTAACAAGCCTCATCTGCGAACCGGTTGCTGGTGGCGTAGTGGTAACATACACTACTCGCGTTTCGCTAGCGATTTGGTCTGGG